TGTCTACCCCTCTTTCCCCCCCAAAAAAAAAAGTTTTCAAAATACTTGATATTTTCCTTTGGGTCTTGTTGTCAGGTTCTGCCTGCCAGAAGCTATTGCTTTTGCCACCCACACATTCCACTTCATCCTGGTGCTTCCAATTACCTGCTCTCACCTTCTGGGCCCAGATTAGCCACAATGGGATTATAAAAGTTATGGGCCCAAGACAGAAGAACTGCTTCAGTTATTAAACTTCTTTTTTAATAGGCTTTGCCCCTGCTCCACTATGTGTTGTTGTCTTCCTCTTTCAGATTCCAGTCATTTCTTTCTTGACTGTCTCCAGAGATTCCTGACCACCTGCTTCCTTCCCCCTGTGATATAACCTTTGGATGGTTCTCCTTTATCTGTTTTGATTCTGAACCCTGGTTTGATCTGCCCTGTGGTATATTTGTTTTCTGCCTGCTCTCCCAGGTTGGGCTTCTTGACATTTCTCAACCCTTGACAGCAACTTTGTGTCCCCTAGATTCTGGACCTATTACCACTTCCATTTCTCCCTTTACAACACTTGCCTGCTCTTTTCATGCCCGCCTGGCTATGTGTATTTCTGGCACACTGTTATCTGATTGTATGTGTTCAAACTATTAACTACTCACCTGGTTCTAGACCCTTTGGCTCTACATTTTCAGGCCTATTCCTCGGTCCAGGCCACTCCTGTGCTTAACTTCCCTCCCTGCCCTGAACAAATAAATCCTATGCTCCCAGCTCAATCCTTTCTCATCTGGTTTCCACACTACTCACCTCCTGCTGCCCATACTCCCAGAGCTGACACTGAACTGATTGTAAGCTGCCAGGCGCATTCTGAAGTACATTAACTCTAGCTGACCATAAGGGTGCCATTTACTAAATTACTGATCCATTGACCTTAAACAAGTCACTTAGCCTCTTTGTATTTCACTTTCTCCATCTATCAAAAACATGTTCTAAGTAAGAAAAATGTACTAGGCTTGTCTGTAACCTAAATTGCCTACATTCCTTCCCGGAACATAGACACTATGTCTATAGATATAGTTGCTTCTTTTCATTTGAGGCTGACAACCTCATTGTATGATTCATCCAAACTTATTCTTTCCCCCCATTTCCCCCAAACCCCAAATCATGATTTTATAAAACTTCCCTTCTGCCAAGTTCTCCTAAAACTACATAGCTGGCCAAAGACTTAGTTTGTGTACCTCTTCAAAAAGCATTTTGTTTACTAAAACAGAGAATGTTTGCCTTGGTTCTTCAGCAGGACTAAAGGAGCTCCTTATATCCCTAGCTCTTGACAGTATGTATGGAGGAAGGAGTGCAAAAGTAAGAAAGGATATGAGTAGTGTGAAGGCATTATGGTGTAATGGAAAGAGCACTGGATTTGAACTTGGAAAACTCCAGTTCTGCCACTAAATGCATGACCTTGGGTGAGTCACTTCCTCTCTAGGGGGTCTCAGTCTCTTCGTCTATAAAATGTGGGGGTTAGATTAGATAAGTCTAAAGTCTAGGTTCTAAAGTCCCTTTGAGATCTACTGTTCTTTGTTTAAAACCCTTTCCAGCTCTAATACTATGTTCTAGAATCCTGCCCAGGTCTGACATTCTCCATTCTAACTTATGATCCTGTGAAACATTCTGAAATAGTCCAACGAATGAAGATTATGACTTCTTAAGTAGAAACCTTTCCTTCCTTCCAGCCTAAGAAATCTATTCACCTATCACCTTAAGCCCTTTAGAGACTGGTAAGTAAGGGAGCTCTCCTCCCTGCCAGGTAAGGATACTTCAGCATTAGGGTTTAAGTTGTTTTCAGAAGACAGAATCTATAAATGTGGGTGTACATATATACACACACACACATATATATATATAGGTTCTCTAGTTTTTTGTACATCATATATCACCTGCAGTAAGATAGACGATATTCCTCTCCCATTTTTTCCTTTTGTTCTGTCATCGATGGAAGAAGGGGGAAGAAATCCTTTGGAAAAATCTAAAGTTTGAAGTATTAAGAAGCAGTCCTCTCATGTTCTATTCTCCTTTCCTTCCTTCCTAAGCCTGTTATTGGTGAGAAAGCAGGAAAATGGTGTATTGAAAGTTTGTCTTCCACCAATTCCAGGGGTTGACATTAAGTACAGGTCAAAGAAAATAGGAGCTAGTTACTCATAACCCTCAGTTGAGGTATTCAGCTGATATTCAGACTGGCTTCCAGTCTTCCCTTGCACCATAGCAGGACCTGTGGAAGTATGGCTCCAATATCATAATGGGGCAGGGCAGGGTCACTTCATAGGAATTTGCTTAATAGGAAGCTTTCAGGAATATACCTGTTCTGTAAAAGCACATTGTAAAAACAAAAACTTCCTGATTGTTGGAGGCACCAAAGATAGGTTGCCTACAGTCCATGAGAGATTACTTAGAGAGAGGAAATGCTGATGACTAAGAGAGCTTTTTCACAGAAGGGTTGTCCTTCCCACAGCTGCTTTCCTAAGAGCAACCTTGCCATGGGCACATCCATGTCACTTTTGCTATCTGAGGTAACATGGGACCAAATAATCATGGAGAATTTAAATCCATGGACAACTTCTAGTCTTAATCTGTTTCAACCTTCTTTCCCACAACATTTTAAAATTGAATGGGCAAAGAAATAAACAAAATTAGTTTGTGTTTTCAATTCCTCTCCATGCTCCTGCACTCCCTCTGGTGGAGATGTCAATAAGTAGAGCAATCATTAAAAGGTGGGCAGCAGGAAGGGGGGGGGGGGTGGGGAATAAAGTGCCTCCGTTATCCACAAATGGTAAATAAATAGCTTCGAAGTTCATTTTTAGAACCTAGCAATATATATTGTTAGCATTCTATTGACATATATAAAATGTGTCCTGATAATCTCACTTATCAACAGTTGCCCTGGTTGTCAGTAAACTCTAAAATAGATCACAATCAGTGGGAAAGAGTACTAATTTGGCCAAATTAAAGCTGCAGATCTCAATCTGTCCTGCTTTGTTTGGAAGAGGAGGATGAGAGGAATATACAAGATTCGGCTGGACTAAACAGTTCTGTAACAAATTCCATTTTCAGGTTCATGTGCACCAGACAACATTATCTCCTTTATTCATGCTATTCCCACCTAGAATTTCTTCTACCCCTTACCACCCATCAAGACTCCAAGTTCCTTCCCCATGAAGTCTTCCCTATCTTCCTTAGGTACCAGACCCAAATTATTTACCAGTTGTAATCAGCTTCAGAGATGACCCAGTCTCATCTTCCACATAATTCAAGGATCCTATAATAGACAGACATTCATCTTCTAAAATTCCAGTGATAAGGGACTACATTACATTGAGTTGAAACCTGTCTCCTCTCACCCTGCTCCCCACCCCTAGCATCCACCCATTGGTTCCAGCCCTGTCCTGTGTGGCAACACTGTAGAGCACACATACACACACATATACACATGTGTGCATATATGTATATACATGTGTGTGCATATGTGTACATGCATGCACACACCACATAATATATGTGTTCTTTTATCCACTATGCCCTACCTGCCTCTCCCCTCACTCAATTATATACTGTCTTGTACTGCTTGTTGTTTTTTGTATTAATCCATAAGACTTTCTGTTTTAATAATAGTAATATTACCACAGCCACCATTCATTCTACCTTTTTATTTTTACTTGTCTTTCACTCAAGCCTATCTGAAGTCCCACCTTCCTCACGAAGCCTTCCTCAACTACACCGATCCATTTTGGTATAGTTTATCTATACCTTATGACTTAGAACACAATTCATCAATTCAGTACCTGTGATTTCTTTCACCTGCGTGACTGGCCCCTCCACATCAGTCTTTCTGAGAGTTGCTTGATCTGAAAACTTATCGAGTTGTTAATAAGCTTCTCTGCCCTTAGCTAGACTGGTCTTCAAAAGACAAACACAGTCTCTTCCTGGATCTGTACTCAAAAATCTTTTCAGTTCCACAGGACCAAGGAGATCTGTGAGGGTTTATAGGCTGCTGGTAAAGCCTTCAAAAACCCAGGATTACCTTCATGCAGTAATGAGGCATCAGAGGACTTTACTGAAGCTCAAATATATAATGTCTAATTTTTCTGTTTCAGTGTGTTATTCTTGTTATCCTTGCCCCAACAAAACTTAGTGTCTTGAGGGTAAGGACCTCTTTTTCTGGACCACATCTCCTTTTCTTCTGTCTACAGTATCTAGCACAGTATAGGACATAGAATACTTCAGTGCTTCTGGATTGTTTTTCCAATAATGCTGTTGGAACTCTACTGGTTCAGTTTTACTCTGTCTCTCCTCACATCCGTAAGAAGGAAGATTGGACTTGGCACCTTGGAACTCCAAACTTGGACATCAGGTCCCTTATGCTCACAGACAAGAGTACACTCACCACTACTCACAGGGCACCCCCACATAAACCAGAAAACTTGGAGTCGATGTACAAAGAAGTCTGGACTTGAAATTTGAACTAGGGGTTACTCTGGGACCTTCGGCCCAGGCCTCAGTTTCCTCATCTATCAAATGGAGGGTTTGGACTAGTTCTGGGGTCTTCTTGCTGGGAGTCTTTAGTGGGGCTTAATGTGTGCCTATGGATTTTATTAACTCCAAATGTATTTCTCTTCCTCTAAGAGTGTATTAATAACATAAAGAACGCCATAGCTACACATAATCACGTGCTCTTGGCAGCGTGCAAGAATTAGGCTGCTCCTGTAGGCGATTGTCAAGTTGGAAGACCTGGCAGTACCGGCCCAACAAGCTTATCTCTAGCTCCTGCAGCGGCAGGGATGCTTGGTGATCGGTGCAGTTCACAGAGGGAGTGGCAGACACCAAGAGACCTAGCTATGGCCACAACCAGGTCTGGGAGGGGAGGAGGCTCCCCCCGCTGCAGGCGGCCATCTCCCCTTCCCCCCTCTCGTGGGTTCTGGGCTGAGGCCGGGGACTGTCCGGAGCTGATCTCGGGCTCCCATTGGCCGCTGTCTGCCGTGACGTCACGATCATGATGAGAATTGATGATCGGACACGCTGATTTCATTGTCTGAGGCGGCGGTGGAGACCCAGGAAAAATCTCGCTGAATCCGCCCTGCCCGGCGCTAGCCCGCCCCGGGGAGCCTCGGATTACGGCCGTTTTCCCATCACGCCCGAGGTAAGCCCCGCACCTTAGTGGAGTGGGCTGGGGGTGAAGGGCGGGGGGGGGGCAGGGCACTGAGCGACTGGTCCGCCCAGTGGGGGGCCCTCAGGGGCCGAGGCCTGCGGAGCCAGGGCGGCCGAGCAGCAGCACGGGTCCCTGGGAGCCCAGCGTCGCTCCCCACAGGGCCCGGCCGGCGGCGGCGGCGGGGCGGAGCGGAGCGGAGCTGGGGAGGGGGCTGCCGCGGGCACAGTCCAGAGGGCCCGGGGCCTGGGGCCCCGGAGCTGCCGAGCTCGGGGCTCGCCCCTTGCCTCGCCTGGCCTGGCCTCGCCGGAGGAGGAGGAGGAGGAGGAGAAGGAGGAGGTGGCGCCTTTTCCTCTCACAAGAGGGGGGTGAATTCTGCCGCTTCTAGATTGTACTGGACAGTAGCTTTCCCACAGCCCGACTCTTACGCGCGGAGGGCGCTGCGCCTGCGCAGTCCCACCTGCGCGAGGGTGGGGCGCGCGATGAGGGGCGGGCGGGCGTGCGCAAGCGCATTTCTCCGCTGAGCTTGGGGCTGCCCTCTGCTTTGGGTCTGGAGAGGAAGGAGGAGGAGGGAGATTTGAGAAGTTGGAAGGGAACCCTAAGTGGAAAACTGGACGCGGTAGGGATGGGATTTGTGTGGCCGGGGTTATAACATCAACTCTTCCAGTGGACGACATCATTGTAAGGTTCTTTTGGTATGCTTCCCATTGATAACATCCTCTTAGGCTTCTCTTAAGGCCACCTTGTTTGTCCCTCTGTGGTTTATAGTCCCATTCTTTCATGCTGAGCAAAGACTCGAGGCCACTGGGCCTTCTTGGTGTCTTTTTCCTCCCTTTTGCTATGCCTTCTTTTCCAGTTGAAACTGTTTCTGAGTTTTCCCTCTTAAATCCCACTCCCTTGGCACCCTGATTCTCCCAAAACCACATAAGCACCCTCCAATTTGGAGTGCCTTCTCATCCGCTGGGCTTGCATTAGTCAGAGCTTGAGACTAATTGTGAACAAGAAGCTCTCAGGCCCGTGGTACACGTAGTCATGAGGACAAGTTGTACTGCAGGGCACTTACCCTTCTGTGCTCCATAGAAACTAAGTGCCATTGGCTGAAGAAGTTGGGTGTCCGTTCTGTGCTTTTGACTCACTGGTGAATCCATACTGTCAGATTATTCTTTTTCCTTCTCTGTGTGAAGGCAGTCATCAAATCCTTATGGGTTTTCTTCCTTCTCTGTCTCCACTGCTACCACCCTAGTTCAGACGATCATCATCTCAAACTAATTACAAACTTTTAGCTCTCCCCCTTTCCCCTTCCCCAATCCGCCCTGTATACCTCTGCCAGAATAATCTTCCTCAGATACCACTTTCGTGATGTCATTTCCCTTCTCAGAAATTTTTAGTATCTCTTTGTTTACCTACTACACTACAACTAAACTCTTCTTCCTGCCTGCCCCCAGAGCCCCACCTTACCTGTCCATTTCTATTTCTCACTGTTCCCTGTTGCCCTTCTCCTCACTGTCCCCTGAATACATACTGTACTCATTCCCACCTCTATTCCTTCACTTGGGTTGTTACCCCATCCTCTCACTCCCCAAATCCTCCCCTCGCCCATGCACATCTGGAATGCTTTCCTTTCTGTGTCTCACCATCTCTCAAGGTTCAACTCAAGCCTTGGCTGACTAAATAAATAAATCACAGATTTAGAGACAAAGGAAGAAACTTGCCCAAATCATACCTTATGAATATGTGTATGTGGGGGGGGAATTTGGGGATATATATATACACATATATGTATATATACATAAATATATTAATCTGGGATTTTAATCCAGATCCTCTAACCCCAGATCTGGTGTTCTTTCCACTGTACCCCAAGCCTTTATTGATCTTCTCCAGTCTCTGAGCTCCTCGAACACTCGTAGACTACCTTCTGAAAGGGAGCTTGAGCACTTAGTTAAATGTAGACTGAACCATTCTCTAATTCTCTCACATGTTACACAGTCTTGTTGCTGAAGAGGAAAGTAAAATTGTTCAGGGATCCTATCTTTTATTCTATTCCCTGCATAGTGCTAAAGGAATACTAAATGATTGAAATAGTATAGCTATACAAGGCCTTCTCTCCCTAGTAAAGGACTGCCTGGAAAAGCAAATAATATTTTTAGAGTAAGAGCTATATCTGTCTGAGATACAATCTGCCCATACTCAGACAAAACACTCCTCTTCTTGGGAAGTCTGCCACCAATTTCTTATTATTGAGGCCCCAGGCTACTAAGTATGTCCAGCTCTAATGATGGAGTCACTTGGTAATTCAGGTATCATCATATAAAGATGAATGTCAAAGAAAAGCATTATGGTATTCTCAGGAAATAGTCTTATGTAAGGGATATAAGTCCCTGCAGACTATCATACTCCATAGTGATGCTGTCTGCTCTCTCTCCAGTTCTTTTTTTCTGGGGGAAAGAGGGAAGGAAAAATAACGTTAGGATTTCTGTTCTTTCACATTTCTTCATGACATCATTTGTTTCCCTTGTTTTAGGTTTCATACTTTTTGGATGCTCTCACACAATTCGCTGTTTCATGGACAATTTTTACTCATGTCTGTTCCCTTACCTCCCAGCCCTGCCCCAGCACCTCAGTAAGATTTAGGGTTCTGGGACATGGTGGATCAACTCAGAAGAATTCAAAATCAGCATTTGAAAAATTTGAAAAATCACTGTTGTAGACCATCAGAAGTAAACTGTGTATGTTGATCCTAATAAGAGAAAATCCTTTCTCTGTTACTCATTAGTTTTTTTCTCCTTTCTCTAATTTATGCAGTTCTCCCAGGCTTTTTTAGCCTGTGTGTCTATTTATCATGGTATTCATGGGGTCGTTTTTTTTTTTTTACTAGACCCTGATAAATTAGCTCAGCAGGCTCTAAGCTGGGGATCTGGAGATGGGATGGAATGTGCTGAATTGATGCTTCCCATGTTTGCGGTGGGGAATGACATAGATAACATAAAGTATGAACATGTGGTGTTTATTTTCCTCAAAAAAATCTTTGCAATAGTATAATTACTACCTTGATGAGGATTTAGAAGGTGTGCTTAGGCATATATATATGCTCCTTTTCCCCATCCTGTGTCTCCTTAACAAGGTGTGAATTCCCCTGGTTCTGAGTCCTCATTTCCCCCTGATGAGGCCTTCCTTCTGTTTCATTAAATTTCACCTGAGCTCTGCTCTTTGTTTCGGCCTTTGAAAGGAAAACAGCTAAAAAGAGAGGTTGAACAGAGGTAAGAGAGGCGAGTGCTGATGAGATTAGAGAGAAGCCTTCATAGCCACACAGCCCATGATCTTCGTAACACCATCGATTTGGAGCTGGATGAGAGCATCAGGACTGGCTAGTCCAACCCCTTCACTGGGTACATGAAGAAATTGAGGCTCATATAGGTTAAGTGACTTTATCAAGATCCACAGACCTAGGATTGAAACTATACTGGCATCATATGGAGACACATTGTTGTAGGGAGTTAGAGGTAGATGCACACTAGGATCCAGAGAGAAGACAGTACAACCATGAGTTTCTGCAGGAGAGAAGTGGTTGGTGAGTCAAGTCCAGAAGCATTTATTACGTGCCACTGTGTTCCAGGGATACAAAGAAAGGCAAAAACAATCCCTGACTTCAATCTAATGGGAGAGCCAAGTATAAACAACTGTGTACAAATAGGACATATATGAGATAAATTGGAGCTAATCACAGAGGAAGATGCTAGCATTAAGGGAGACCAGGAAAGGCTTGTAGAAGGTAGGATTTTAGTTAAGTCTTGAAGGATGGTAGGAAAGCTGAGAGGTAGAGACAATGAGAAAGAGTATTCTAGGGACCAGGGACAGTCAGTGAAATGCATGAGTTCAGGAGATTAGAGTGTCTTACTTTTTTGAAGAACAGCTGGCTGGCATCAGTGAAAAGACATGGGGAAGAGGGAGGAGTAAGGTAGAAGAAGACTGGAAAGGCAGGAGTGGGGGTAGGCTGTGAGGGCTGTGAAGGCCAAGCAGAAGATTTTATACTTGATTCTGGAGGGAACTGGAGAGAGGTTGTCCTGAACCAGGGTTAGATGGAAATTTGGAAGGAGAGAAGACACATTGCTAGAACGTATGTAAATAGGAAAAAAGATTGGCATAGCAGGGATCTGTGACATAGAGGAGTAAACCATACCAAGCTTCATCCAAGGTGATACTGTACGTGGTGTGGACTGTGCAGATACCTGTGGAGGTAGACGATTGCCAGAGGGAAGGTTGCTTGACTCTCTAGCAACCCTGAATTCTTTTCTCTTTTGGGAAGAAACTTAGAATAGTACTGTAGGTCTAGAGCAGTAGTACTAACTCAAATAGAAATATGGGGCCACTATTCTATACATAAGGATCCCTGGAGGTACATGTTGACTTAGAAACCACATATTAACATTATCTTTATTTTATTGTATTTGTATTTTGTTAAATATTTCCCAATTACATTTTAATGTGATTCCAGTGCACTGGGGAGGGTTGTGGGCTGCCCATGAGTTTGACACGTCTGATCTAGAGGCCTGTCTAGGTTCCTGGGAAAGGTAGGGCACACCAGAGGAGAGAGTTTATGGGCTCAGGTATGAGTCCTTTGAGTTTTCTGTTGGATTAAATAAAACTCATTCTATATTTAATGTTTTGTTAGCCTGAGTGCTTTCGTGGAGACCTAAACGTGGGCCAAAATTCTGATGTTCCCCTGGGGAGACCTGGGTAGGAGCAGGAACTATAGAATGATTAAAAAGCCTTCGAAATCAAGCCTGGTGTGTGTGAGCTTAGAGCTTTGTTAATGGACCATAAGAATATAATAAGGCACTTTTTCTTTATGATAATATACAAAGGATCTATAGAGTTGATTTTATGCAGCATTTTAAGGTTTTCCAAGTGTCATATGTCTTTTTTCCTCATTTCGTTCTCACAGCCCTTGAGGTGAGGACTATAGGTGTGGTCACTTCCATTTTATAGTTGAC